ACATTAAAGTAGGGATCATCGTGAAAGAAAAATTGCGGAAGTTCGGTTTAGATTGTCGCTGAAAATGTAGGAAACGACGGTTGCTGCGTACCAATGAAATGAATGAACATTAGTTGTCTATCGAGAACATAAGTTCCTACTATCGGGAGTATGACTCCAAACTTATGTCTATGATAGTGTTATCTTAGACCGAAAATGACATTAAAAAAAAATTGGAACGAACTCACTTGAATCAGGAAAATTGTACGTCATTGGATAATAAAAATAATCCAGTGAGTTTCGAATATCATAACGTGTAATGTCCATATCATTATAATTTGTTCGATTAGTGATATGACTGCGTATGTCATAGTTTAATGTCAATACGAACAAAAATAATAATTCCACGTTAGATGATGATATGACATTATTGTAATAATGAGCTTGTGATGATTATTTGAATCATAACGAAATATGTCGTCGACGGTTCCATTTTTGGTTTGTGTTCGCTCGTTGCGGTTGCCGATTCTGTCGCGTGTTCCAAATGCGGCGTGCCAATTATGTTGTGAGTTCGTACGTCGAGGTTGTCGATTCTGGTCGATGTTCGTTCGGCGAGACATCCAATTATGTTTTCGCGTTCGTAAGTCGGGATCGCTAATTGTGTTGCGTGTTCGTACGTCGGGATTACCAGTTTTGTAGTGCCGTACTTCGATCATAGTTCGCTTCGATAACCGTTATTAATACCAATCTTAACGGTGTATAATATCAGAAGGCAAAGGGAAGCGGCAACTACATTTTTATTGATAATCGATGCAGACCAGAAAGTTGTAAGCACATGAGCAACTGTAAGCAAGCGAAGCAAAGATGATGCGTATTGGAGATGGCTGGGAAGCCAACTCATTTTAAGCAAGCGTTAACTAACATTTATAGGCAGGCAAAAATGAGTGACAGACGTATGATGAATAAGATACGAAGTGTACACATATGCGCTCATATAAAAAGTACTCAAGGTTAATAAGCAAATGATTAACAAGTTCAAAAGATGACTCAATGTACAGGTGAATTGGCTTGGCCAGTAACTAGAATAAAGTATATGGGCCTAACATATGAACTGGTACTACATATATATGTTATAAACATTGTGTAAACCTCCGTAAAGTTGTCAGTTATTTTGTACCACAAGTCGATATCACTGGAAGCAATCCCAAAAAATTTATTGTCTGTACCTAAAAGCCCCTGAACATCCATAACATCAAACTCATTCAGTTTGGATTTACTTCACCACCTATTTTTAGTGTGATGAAAAAAGAACTCCACGGTTGATAGATTTTGATTGTGAAAAGCCAACTGAATAAATGACCAAAGGTCATCTTATTTTGGTATTATTCTCAACGCTATTCGAAAAGCATCAAGCAAGAAGTAATTCAGTATAATGACACGTTCATTCAAATCAGAACTACTTTTCAGACTTACTTTCAATATTACAGAAGTCCAGTCTTATTTAATAGTTCTACATCTAACTTAGCTGTAGGTTGTTTAGGGTTTAATAAGTTTTATGCTTTATGGCCGCCTCTCTCTTTCAATAGTATAAAACAGAGTTGACTTATTTAATTCTGTATGTTTAGTACAGAGGGAAATTCTCTGTATCTAATCATTCAACAAGTTTACTTTGATCATCATAGGTATTATAAAAATATAACTATGTAAGTAAATAATAATGATTTCAGAAAAACATTTTTCAAACAGTGACTAATAGGTAAGCATCATTAGTCTTGGAAGGTTTGATTGGTTCTTCTCTGATACAGTTTTCATCCTTTGAAACGTATTGTTCTTCAAAACATCATAAGAGATAACTTCAAGCTAAGCAAGCTATTTAGAGATATTTTGCCAGCAATGAGTCCATTATTATAACTTTATTTATTGAATTGTCTTTGAAGGATTTATTACCTTTGTATTCCTTTGCATTCTCAATGAGGTGCTGATTGAATATGAGGATAAAGAACAGTGAAATATGTTCTGATAAGCTGCAGTCGAGTAAATAGAGTCGATTGGCGATTAGTAGATTAGAATTTACATGCCTGGAGTTCATGTGGGATAAAAAATAATCCAGCCGTAGGATGATGACTGCATCAACGGGTGATATTCGTTGCTGTACTGATAATGAAAATAAAATGCGAAGTCAGTGTGCGTTGTCGCTTGCGTTGGGTTATCGTTAAATATGCATTAGTAGAATGACCAGAGGAACAGGATAGTGACTGCTGAGACGAGATATGCGGAGTCGTATTCCTTTATGGTCATGCAGCCTAGCGTGGTTTGTGTAGTTAGAGGGATATGCGCTCAACCTCATTTGTTACGAAACCATATTAAGGCGTGATAAAAGTACCAATACATATGATCATCGATGACAGCGAGTGAGACTGACTTGAAAGTGACGAACAAGAGTGTATCTTTGAGAGACCAGCTCTAAACTCTATGTTCTGGAGTACAGTGCAATGTAAATAAAATATTAATTGCAGTAATCGAATTGTGATTATCGGTGATGGATGATGCAGCATTCAGATATACATGTGAATGAATAAATAATATGAACATAATCATTACTAATCGGCTGGTAATGCGGCGTCGAATACTCGATTTGTGTATAAACATTAAAGTAGGGATCATCGTGAAACAAAAATTGCGGAAGTTCGGTTTAGATTGTCGCTGAAAATGTAGGAAACGACGGTTGCTGCGTACCAATGAAATGAATGAACATTAGTTGTCTATCGAGAACATAAGTTCCTACTATCGGGAGTATGACTCCAAACTCATGTCTATGATAGAGTGTAATATTAAGCCGAAAATGACATTAAAAAAAAATTGGAACGAACTCACCCGAATCAGGAAAAATTTTCGTCATTGGATAATAAAAATAATCCAGTGAGTTTCGAATATCATAACGTGTAATGTCCATATAATTATAATTTGTTCGATTAGTGATATGACTGCGTATGTCATAGTTTAATGTTAATACGAACAAAATAATAATTCCACATTAGATGATGATATGACATTATTGTAATAATGAGCATATGATGATTATTTGAATCATAACATAACGGTTCCATCTTTGGTTTGTGTTCGCTCGTTGCGGTCGCCAATTCTGTTGCGTGTTCCAAATGCAGCTAACCAATATGTTGAGTGTTCGTTCGGCGAGGCATCCAATTTTGTTACGTGTTCGCATGTAGGGCTAACCAATATGTAGCCGTACGTTGAGGTTGCCAACTTTGCTTCGCGTTTGTAATTCGGGATCGCCAATAGTGTTGCGTGTTCGTACGTCGGGATTACCAATAAGTGGTGTAGTGCTTCGTTCCAGAAATATCACAATTTAGACCAAGAAGAACTTGGTGAACACGAACGAACGTATTGAATTTGGAGTTACAAACCAGGCCAAATCAAATACAAATAGATCATTATTTCATACAAAAACCGCACTCACCATAGCTCAAATTAGAATCTAAGTTTCTGTAATCGGTTTTACCTCTTCTTCTCAGGATCATCATTTGTCTCTCTTACTGTGTATTGGATGTCGATTCTGTACGACTTGTAATATACTTATTAGAATTTACAATTAAAATTGAAACAAACTAACTCGATTCCTGGAGTTATATTTGATCAACATATCGTTTGTGTACTGAACTCACTAATATCTAGAATTCGGACCATAGATTTTTCAAAACTATCATCCCCCACGAAATAATGTGGTGTCCTTATGTCACTGTTCCATGACCAATATGACGTTCTCAATCAGCATTATCTCACATCTCACAATTCGACTATTATATATGAGTAATTGGGGATACAAACTTACATGTAATTTGAGTTATTTCATCATGTGTTTTTGATTTGCATGAAAAATATGACACACATTCCTTTTGCTCTTTACGTTAAAATACGTGAAATCATTGATCCAGTTACCAGATAAATATGTAGTGTTGCGCTTCGTTAATCGATCGTCTTGATAACCGTTATTATAACAATCTGAACGGTGTATAATATCAGAAGGCAAAGGGAAGCGGCAACTACATTTTTATTGATAATCGATGCAGACCAGAAAGTAAGCACATGAGCAACTGTAAGCAAGCGAAGCAAAGATGATGCGTATTGGAGATGGCTGGGAAGCCAACTCGCTATGAGCAAGCATTAATCAACATTTATAGTCAGACGAAAATGAATGGCAGACATGCGATGAATAAGATATGAAATGTGTATACACATGCGCTCATATAAAAAATATAGTCAAGGTCAATAAGCGAATAATTAACAAGGTCAAAATATGACTCATAACATTATAGGTGAATTGGCTTGTCCGGAAACTAGAATAAGCTACGTAGGTGTAATAAAGTAAACGACGTTACACTACTCCCCACAAATATGCATTATAACATCTAACTAACAAATGTGGTTCATCTAGGCTTGATTCATCTGCAAAACAATCAAATCGAAAATTTGCATCTGCCTCATACTCATTAGGATAATCTTGGGTGCCATTTGAATTTTTTACCTGTGAAGTCTTCGCTTCTGAACAAACTGGTCCCCTGACTGCTTTGAGGAAACTTTCTATTCACTGTAATTCATTATGCCAATAACTGATGATTACTGTCCACCAAAAGAGCGTTTCTAAGAAAACCGCATGCTGTCACCTCCACAACTGTCAGCCACACACTTAATATGCTTTCAGTATATCGCAACCAATCAGTTCTTATACATCAGCAATCTCAACGATTCTCAGCATCAGGTTCGCTAAATGAGGCAACATTTTTGATGTATCAATTATACCGTGAGCTAACCTTTGGAAGAGCAATATATTAGGAACAATAACCTGTTTCACATCATCTGAGTCTGATTTTTCTAATGAATTTACTTCAAATAGCTGCAAGTATATAACTACCGTAAAATTCGTAAAAAATGTAAATCTTTGTTGATCACGCTACTTAAGAATAGGCAATATCAAGTTTTCTAAATGGTTTTAAATGGTTGACAGACCTCAAAGATCGTTTAAATGGATGATTTTCAAACGCCAAATCTGACCGCTCCAGATAAAGATCTATTGTTCACGGTTGCTATGGTTTCTGTAGATTAGGATTTATTGTTGTTGAGCTCACTGAAAACGTCGTTATAAATTTTAGAACTTATCTCGTCCTAATTATGCATTCTTTCATATGGAATGAGAAGTTTTGGCTTCCACCCAACGTAACATGGGACTTAATGAAAGAAATAAATTTAGCTGGTGTTTCACCATCACTAACAAAATCTATGGATTGCCTTTATGCGGTAGCTGTTCTTACGGCTATTCGTTATTATTTGAAAGAGTATGCTGGACTATAATTTCAACTTTTTATTTCCAGGTCTGTTTTCATTCCTCATGGTCTTTCACTGGGTTTGCGCTTTCCTAAAATATCTCATGTTCCTGACATACCAGTCTTAAAGAGAGTATTTGAAAAAAATCATAAACCGACGTACGCTCAGATAAAGGTAGTCATTATATCTTGTGCTCTCAATTTTAGGAACTTTCAAAAACTCTTAATTTAAGCGATCGGTCGATTGAAGCGTGGTTTCGAAAAAGACGTAATTGCGAAAAGTCTCCAACGATTGTAAAGTTCGTGGAATCTGAGTAACTACTGTGGATTTCACTGTAACCAAAGTTGATTGTTAGGTGGAAGCTATGTTACTATACTACCATGTTTTTTTACGGATTATTTGCGTTGCACGATGTATGTCTTATTTGAAGTATCTAAAAGACTTATTTTTAGAAGTCCTACTTCTGGGATGTTAGAGATACCATGCTGAATTATCCATATCATGTAATTTAAAAATATGCTATTATATATCATTTTTTTATTCAAATGTGAACTTCCGTGGCAGTTGCCACGTGCTTGTGTAATTTTTACAATTTTTTTTACTGTAATTACCCTGATTTTAACTAGGTTTTAGGATTAATCCATTGTAATGTCCAAAATATGTTGTCAAGGTTTGTCCACTACCTACAGATTTTACTTGAGATATTTGTAGTCATATGTCAATTTTCTTGTTACAAATTCATTATTTCAAAATTGTCACTGAAGCAAAAAATACTGCTTGTTTCTAAAGATAGTACAAATGGATTCTTCCTTAATCGGATTGTGTTGATTGAGTCATATGGACTTATGGTTTGTGGTTAAAGCTTAGACTTTGTTCTTCGGACTGTAGCGCGTTCTTTAGTTTTCATATAGAGTAACAAGTGACATACTGGAAAGTCTCCTAACAGCGATTGCACATGATAGAGACTTCATATTAGTACTGCTCAGAAAGATCCTTATCCAACATATCTGCACGCCGGCTTTTCTTATGAAGCAAGAGCTTACCTCTTACCAAACATCAACATTCTATCATCCTACATACCGAACTTTTATTAGACTTTAGGCTGGTAAAACAATGATATTTTTCCTACGAATGCTATTTTTTTGGATGATTTGCCACGACCAGAGAATCATGGTTGATCAACTTCTATCATTTTCATAACGAATTCCTTATTCTATCAAGTTAGAGGTCAATTATAGGGCTGAAAATGTGTATCGCAGTTGAATTTTAATTAAATGAATAACTCATCTATCTTATATGTCCCTATCTTTGAGCTACAGTGTTTCTGCGGATACCACTTTACTACTAGAAACAACGTAAATTCATTGCGATTCGAACCTACGGCTTATTGGCTAAAGATCATCACTTTAACTCTTGAAATATTGCCTCTACACTTTAACTTAAACGCAATACGCGGAGACGAAATAAACTAGATTACAAGAGTTCAAAATTATTTCTAAACTTTCTGGTGATATTGATAGGGATCACTACACAATACTTTCTGCTCAAATTCTAATTACGATCGCGAAAACAGGTTTTGTATGAGTTACCACATTTCTAAGTACAACCGAGCATTTGTACTCTGCTGGTTTATACATTTTATTCGGTTCACCCTGATTAGTGGCTTCATAATTCCGGAATTTCTTTCTAAAAAACGTTATCGTTAAGGAAAACACCACGTGGAGATATACTCAACGTGATTTAGAGTTGGGTGTATTTTGTTGCTGGAACCATGTTTTATCCAAAGGATCTATTACTATGTTTGATGTGATTATAACAGAATACTATTATTTCTTCTTGAATATCTGGTCATGCGCTAACTACCTTGATTTTTCTTATATGAAGATAAACCACTTAGCTGAGCATTATTTTATTTCAGATTTCGTATGCTTTCTGCTCTTCAGGTCCTGACCCCAGAAATTCATTGGTATTATATGGTACAACTTGGATACTACACAGCTTCTTTATTATGGGTTTTTTATGAAGTCAAACGATCGGTTAGTTTTTTAAAAAAAGCATGCATTTTGGTTTGATTTATTCATAAATTTTGGTTCGTTATGAATGACTGGTTATTAGCAACATACCCTGATAGGAAATATAATACCATAGTGATTGCTTTTTATCGATTACATGTGTCTGCGCATACGTTTTTGTCCATACAATAATCAATATCCTCTTGTATCCCTCACATGCAATCTAATGGTACTAATTTTAATAAGTTTAGTCTACTAATATAACAACTACGTTAACGTGTTGATGAAATTATCAATAGTGCAAGCTATTTTTAATATGGAAATTTTGTTCTAAAGATTCCTAGAATATATTAGACGTTTTTATGTCTTCCATGACCCTTTGCTGTAATTCAAATACTATATTAATGATTATATAACATCTACACTTATCTGATTACCTAACTTAAAGCTACACGTCTTGTATCATATCATATGATATGATACCAAATACAATATTGTATTTGGCATACACTTCTCAAGATGTAATACTGATAATAGTAACGAAGTCTACTAGTGGCATTTAGGAATTCAACATATAGTAGGGTTATCTAAAAGGCCCATCTACCTACAAGCATTGTGAATACTTGGCCTTGCCGCCAACCTTACTGTTTGGTTAGTTTTTTATTAACAGGACTTCATTAGCTATTAAACTTGGTGAAAGTGCTTAAAAGTGACGAGTGAATCAAAGTTTCAGCGCTCAATCTGCTTAGAATTATAAGAAACATGTCACTTGCACACAGTAACTTTAACTCTTAGGTTCAGCTTTGCCGTTAGCATATGTTTATGTCATCCAGAAGGTTGTATGTTTACAAAAACACAGCCTCAATGTCGAAAGGTATCACCCTGTAAGGCAATAAATATGATTTACAGGAAGGTACACCAAACCTCATATTAACACAATTTAAAGAGTTGATGAGCTGATGCAATAAAAACTCTGGTGGTTTTCGAATATCTAAAAGCCTCTTCTGCTGAGAATATAAAAGGCGAATACAGTAGTAAACACCTGGGATGCATGAAGTTTACGAATCGAAAAATTACCCGTGAGCGGTTCAGCATTCTAATAAATGTAATAGTGAGTGTGTTTTGTGTTACTTTATAGCATGCCTCCTGCTGTTTTCAACTAGAAATATCTACAATTACTTCCTAGTATAACTAGCTTATAATGTCTGACATGTATGGAGCTTAGCTTAATATGCTTGGGATGAAAATTTCTATAAACGCAATACTTGATGTTGGACCGTTATGATTTAAAAGTTTTAATTCCACTAGGGATACTGTTGAAGAATTGTGGAGCTTTTACGTGCTTATTGTTTTTCTTTAAGTCAATCAACATCATTGTTGGCATTCTTGAAGGCTTACTTACATACTAACTTACGCCTGTGACACATCATAGAAGAGTATAGGCCACCCACCAGCGTTCTCTATCGAACTCTGTTCTGAACAATCCAGCTGTTTTCAGATGCTATTCATACTTTTGGTACCTGCTTCCAATTCCCGACGCAATGTGTTCTTTGGTCCTCCTCTTTTCCGTTTCCCTTCGGAATTCCAAGTTAGGGCTTACCTCGTGATGCGGTTTGGTGATTTCCTTAATGTATGTCCTATCCACTTCCAACGTCTTTTCCTAATCTTCTCTTCAGATGGAAACCGGTTTGTTCTCTCTCACAGTAGGCTGATGCTGATAGTATCCGACCAACACACATTCAGTATCTTTTGTAGATAGCTGTTTGTAAATACCTCTAGTTTTTAGATGATGATTGTGGTAGTTCTCGAGATTTCATCTTCTTACGGTAGAGCTGTTTTGACGTTCGTATTGAAGATTCTGACTTTGATGTTGGTTGATAGTTGTTTTGAGTCTCATATGTTTTCGAACTGTGGGAATGCTGCCCTTACTTTTCTAAACCTTACCTTTACGTCTGCATCGGATGCTCCTTGTTCATCGATGATGCTGACCAGGTACATGAGAGATTCCATCCACGTTTTCCCGAGCTTCTCTATCAAGTGTGATTGAGCTGGTGTTCTCCATGTTGTATTTGAGGCCTACTGATAGAGAGGCTTCTTCTACGCTGACTGTCTTTACTTGCATTTACTAGTGTGTATGAAATAGAATGGCTAGGATATTTGTGGAGTCCAAATCGTCTAAGGTGGGAGTAAGCAGCCTTGTCTAACACCCGTCTTTACTTGGAATGCGTCTGTCAGCTGTCCGCCATTCACGACTTTGCAGTGTAGTCCGTCGTATGAATCCCGGATGACGTTGAAAAATTTCTGAGGTACACCATAATCCTGAAAAAGGTTCTCTTACCCACACTGTCAAATGCTTTCTCATAGTCAAGAAAATTGATGTATAGTAATGAATTCCATCCAATTGATCGCTCAACAATGATCCATGGTGTCGTGATTTGGTCTGTACATAACCGATGCTTACAGGATCCGGTTTATTGAACTCGGAGCTGGATGTCTACCGGATCTTTCATTCGGTTCAGTAATACTCTGTCGAGAACTTTTCCTGGTGCCGACAGCAGTGTGATGCCTCCTTGGTTTTCACATCTCAGGTCTTTCTTGGGTATCTTAACGAGGTTTCCTTCTTTCCATTCTATCGTCACTTGTTCTTCCCCCGAAATCTTCCGGAATAGAACGTGGAGCATGTTTACAGTTGCTTTTATGTCTGACTTCAGTACTTTTGGCCGGTATGTTTTCACGTCCTGATGCTTTCTCACTCTTGATTTATCTGATGGCTATTCTGATTTCTTCGATCGTTGGTGGAGTAGTGACATCTATACGAAAGTCTGTAGGTGCTGCCTCGATGTCCTATAGATTCAATGGAGCTGGTCTATTCAAGAGTTCCTCAATGTGCTTTGTTCTTGAACCTCTGTGATTGTCATTCTTACTTTTTGCTTGACGGGCTTCTATGGTTTACCATATCTCCCTGCTAGTTTCTTCGTTGTGTCATATGGCCGTCTCATATTTCCTTCTCTTGAAGCTCTTTCCGCCGTCGTTGCTAGGTCTTCCATGTATTTCTGCTTGTCAGTTCTAATGCCCTTCTTCACTTGCTTGTTTGCTACGGTGTGTTCGGCCTGTACCTTGACTTTTCCTATTCTTGTTCAGGTGTTGTTAATCGCTGTCTTCTTGTTCTCTCTTTCTTGAATCTTGTCTAGGGTTTTGATGGACATCCATTCTTTATGGGGATGCTCATTAAGGCTCATAGCCTTCTGAAACGTTAAAGTCAGTACTTCTTTGATCCCTTTCCAGCTGTCCTCCATCGTAGTTTCTTGTTCTTTCAGTAGATCCTGTGAAGCTTGGAACCTGTTGATGAGGGTTCTCTTGAATTCGTTGAGTTTGTTAGTATCTCGAAAGAAGTCTGTATTGAACATTTGTAGTGCTGTTCCCCCAGTTGTAGAATGTTTCTTTAGTTTCAGTTTCATCTTGGCCACAACCAGGTGGTGATCTGAAGCTATGCCAGCTTGTCTCCTGGTTCTCACGTCATCCATTTACCTTCCGAATTTTTTACTGATGCAAGTAAGATCGATCTGATTCTGTGTAGTGTGATCTGGTAAAACCCATGTAGTTTTGTGTATGCGTTTGTGTTGGGATATTGTGCCGCCTATAACCAATTTGTTGAATGCACATATATTTACGAATCTCTCCCCATCTTCATTTCTCTCTCCCAGTCCATGTCGTCCAATCATGTCTTCATATCCTGTGTTGTCCAGTCCGACTTTGGAGTTTAGATCTCTCATCAGGATTGTCAGGTCTTTCCTTGAGCACTTAGCTAAGATTGATTGCAGCCTCGAGTAGAACTGATCTTTATCGTCGTCATTGCTATCATTGGTGGGTGCATAACATTGGGTAACATTCATTGTGATCCCCTCCTTTTTCGTTTTGAATGATGCTTTGATAATTCTGGATCCATGAGATTCCCATCCCACTAGTGCATTTCGCGCTTCTCTGGACAGCAATAGGGCAACTCCGTGAGTGTGTGGAGCATTTTCCTCTTCGTGACCATAGTACAGCAGCATCTCTTCCGTATCTAGCCTTTGATTTCCAGGTTATCTCCAATGGTTTTGACTGATTCCGAACATCTTCAAGTTATATATCCTCATTTCCTTTGCTATTTGACTGGTCCTTCTGGTCTCTCAAATTATCCGAAGGTTCTATGTACCTATATTAATGGTTGCTCTGTCTATTATAATTACACTGGCCTCGTGACTTCCGAAGAATCTTATCTTTCACAATGAGGCGTCATAATATTTATGAATGTAGATCCTTCAACTAGGATAGCAGAGCTTAAATAGTTAAATTTGTTTATTCTGGTTGGCGTTTTTTAGCGATGTGGTTTTCTACGGGATGGGGTTGCAGATCCCATGCCCAACCCTCCTCCTTTACATGGGTTGGGGACCTGAATTGATCCTATAGTAGCTACAGTTGGAGTTTCTTAAATGCTTGCAGCAAAATAACTCTTTTGGTTGGTTAACATTGACTAATTTGTTTCTTTGCTTATTTTTATTACTCGTACAATTATTACTAACCCTCGCGTCCGCACACGAATATGACCATTTTCACTATTTCTTGTTCTAAAACATTTTCTTCGTAACAAAGGAAAGATACTGATGAAATAAAAAGTAAAGATTCTCTTCTTGGCGTCATTAAAGATATCATTAGACAATAATAATAGTACTTTGAGCACTACGATATGCTTCGAAATGATTTATAGTTGTTTCACCAGAGGGTTTATATGGTGCATGTACAAACTAAGTGGCTTTATTTATAATAAACAAACCAAACGTATCGTTTGCGATTATCTATTCTCTTTAGGTCTGTTAAGTGTGTGCGTTACCATTTATCCGTACATTACTCATCAATTTGTTTAAAAGTTTTGGGATTGATGACACCGAGTTTCTTCGATACGATGTAACTAGGGATTTGTCGTGTATGAAGTTAGTTGTCATCACGGTCTGGAATGCGCTGTAGAAACACTGGAAAAAGAAGTCTGGAACACCTGTTTCATTTTGTTTTCTGACATCCCTGAATTTAACGCTCAATAGATACGATAGTTAACATTATGCTGGACAATTTTGTTAACCAGTTGGATTCGAAAATTAGCATCGATTTCAGAAATCAGAAACTCTTTCAAAACGCAAAACCCCTAGTTCCTATGTTCAATCATACATGGATTCGAGGATATACTTTGCTATTTAGTTAGAAACTAGGCTGAATAACCTTTTAATACATAAAAATGAAGAACTTCAAATATTTTCTGTTACAAATCTCTGAAAAAATTGAACTTTCTTAACTATAAAGCTGTAGAAAGAGAATACATATATTTGTATTTAGTTCTCTTTTCTCTATAAAATATACACACTTTGCTTTATAAATCAATTGTAAATCACACAGTACATAATTGATACTTTATTTCAGTGGTAAATTTTATACTCATGTAAACCATCGATTCCAATTATTTTGATGGAGTTTTCTTCTCTGAGCTGGATAGTTTGGTCGTGGAGCTTTCATCGTCCTACAAATCTTTTCCACCATTCCAATTATTTTGTGATAGTTTTGTTAATTAATTTATTTACAATTAGTTGACTTTGGATAAGATTAAATACTCACTGTTAAATATTGTAATTCGTACTAACAGTTTAAACTAATCATTATATGTGAAAACATTATATTTGAAATAGTCTCAGCGATTGAAATTTAAATAATTCCAATGTTTCGTCCAGCTAGCTTGTCTGGACTTCTTCAGAGAAATAATCAAAATTATCAAAGAAATATATAGTTGAAATATATATAGTTGACTATATATTTCTTTGATAATTTTGATTATTTCTCTGAAGAAGTCCAGACAAGTTAGCTGAACGAAACATTGGAATTATTTAAATTTCAATCGCTGAGACTATTTCAAATATACTTTTTTCACATATAATGACTTCTCTATACTCGGCGCCCAAATATTGTCAAACTATTCGTTCTAATCTTGACGAATATTTGTATAACGTTCAAACTAATGTTAACAAATTAAATGGCTGTTTAATTTAACGAAATATTTTTTTGATATCTACTCTCTAAGTTAGTTGTAAATGATCGGATAAACTGCGTAGTTAGTTGTACAAATCAAATCTTAAGGTTTACAATTTGATTATTATCTATAATTAAACATCAGATTTAATAAAGGTATTAGCATCTCAGTTTATCTTCGTTTCATTTTTGATTTTTAAGATTTTGCTAATTTTTCATTGTACAAACACAAAATGTATAAAATGTCAAATAAATACGTATCAGTTCAATTTTAATCACATTTCGACTATACGAAAAGTGGAGACTTAATCACTTTTTTATGAAATCTTATGTACGATAACTCATAGTGATTTTACAACTCTTTAGTTTCATTATTTATAATTGCTTAGTGAATTTTTACTTATTTCTCTAAAAAGGATTTCAAAGTTCTTATTGGTCATCATATTTCAACAGTTTCATTGTTAACATTCTCATATATAACAAATTATCATCGAGTTGGTGCTGTTGTTCTCATACTTCATGATATTGCAGATTGTTGGATGGAAGTGAGTAAAAAAAAATCATATAATTGTTTTTTACATCTATTTTGATAACTATATTCTTATAAATTACCAGTAAATATATGTAGTTTATGCATCACAAAACATTTTATTCTGTTTCAAACAATCTAAAATGGATTGCATTGACACAGTTGCATTGACCCTATAATTTTTCTTTAAATCTACACTCAACTACCGTACTACACTCTTTGTCTTTCCTTAAACTGTGAGATTAAAATTGCTTCATATCTGTCTTTCTTCCTGTGTTATATCCTTATATACAATCTTTCTTTTATATATTACCATCACTAAATTAACTACTTCTATGAACTTAGTGTTCATCTGGTTGTGCTAATGAGGTATGACAACTTGAACCGATTCATATGTGTTCCTGGTCCTACGTTGTAGCTGACTTTCATTGTTCAATCTCACTAGCTTTATTATAGATATATATCTCCGAGTCTCTTAAAATGAAGTCTGAGAACTATTGCACATTTGTTCCAGGTTCTATATAGATTTTAACTGAATTTTACTCCATTTGAAGAACCATTATGAATCGAGAGCATTGTATAATTATGGTTGTTCTATGAAACATATACAAAAGGTTAAATAATTTAGCGTCATTACAATATTGCAATACAAGTTAAGTGTTAAATGCTTTGTTGAGTCGGCTTTCGGGGAACTCTAACAGAGCCTCCAGAGGCTCATAAAGAGCCCCAACCAATCAGCGATTAATTAGAAGCTATGTTACTAAAATAACAAGATCCTGATCGGCTGATTAACACACTGTTACTATGTAAACTCAAGGTCTCTAATTACTATAAAATCCCTGTATTTTCTGTACATAAATGAACCCTGTATTAAAGTGCTTTCCTCACACTTTGTGCCTTTTCTCTGGTCTTCAGGTCGGTATATAGTTCTAGCTCGGGGGTACGGAACTAGCTTAGGGAAGCAGGTATAGCGTTCACAATCGGCCAAACGTAACATGCTTCCTGTGAAGATTGATCATACTACGAGAGTTCAATGTTTTTGTGTAGCGTCTAATTCTTCTAAGGTTTGAGATTGGTCTTTTATTATTTTTAAATAAACTGTCTTCGAAATGAACAGCGACTTTTATGATAAAATATTAGTTATTATTTAAAGGATCAATATTAACATAATTTGGTTATAGATCAGAAGGGGTTTTGTGGAGATTCCTGTATTTTCATGGTTAGTTGACTTTGAACAAAAGTGAGAGTAAAGAATTCTTCCTAAATGGTGTTTTGAATAGAATTTATATGAGAAGAAACAAGCATTTCATGTAATCTCGCTCTATCACCTCGTCATTTTGACTTCAGGTTGGCATAATAAACCTATTATGATCAATTCAAAACAATTTAAACATTAAACCAATGGCATTCTTTACAAAGTTCATCATAAGCTGGATATTAGCTGCCTAGGCTATTTTCAATGTTCATTGTGTTGTAAATCATACTTTCAATCAATTTTATATGCATTTGATGCATGAATAATGGATATCAGTGTGTCATTTCAATCGGAGATTTCATCTCAATAGTTTAGAGTTATCTAAGACTACTTAATACGAACGTATCTATGTAAAACAGCTCGAAATGTCAGATAATACACACAAAAATATTAAAACTTAGAGCTGAAAATGAAATATTTAGTGGAAACGGCACTTTAATCTGCAGCAATTGCCGAAAAAGGGGGGTGAGGAAACAACCGAAACGGTTATGTACAACACATATGGTGAACACTAGACATCCTGAAAATGATCTCATCCACGTTAGTTGCTATTAGTACTTGCATTTTTCACTGAAAAGTCCAGTTATTTTGTATTGATTATAATAGATACCATCATAACCATTATTATTATTATAGGCAGCTAAGATATGCAAATATGTCAATAAACAATTGGCTACTGAGGTGTTATTTTCTATTTTTGTACTCGTTTGGATCGTTACACGATTAACTTACTTTCCATTTTGGTAAGTATTCCAATTTTTTCTCAGTATAAATAAAAGTTTTACAATTCTTAAGGATAATCCTTATTATTCCATCAATATAATGTAATTTATTAAAATATTATTACCATCCATGTTTTCATTGATATAAGCATAAATTCTCAATCCGAATTCTGTTTTTTTAATTATGGAATGCTATCGACTGAAAAGTCATTGAAAGCAACTGATCATCGTGTACTTATTTCGTCTTTGTTTAAAAATCTTCATCAGCACGCACCCAAAATCCAGTGTTCTTCAGTTTTTGAATTGAGCACAATATGTATAAGCCTATACTAATGCCTGAATAATTGAACTCCTTAATTTAAGGGTTAGGTCATCTGAACTCAAAAAAAGTTTTGTGTTTTGTAATGGAATTCCAGCTAATGTCAGTGTACGATGAAAAGTGAGTCTTAAAGCTGAATAATATTAAATATTCCTTACAACATAAACGCCTAAAACATGAGTATTATCATTAAGGCAATGATAATTTATGGTTTTCCAGCAATTCACATTTTAACCATTGAGTTTTGCATCTTTAACCTCATAATTGTTCTTTGTGTCACACATACCTAAAAACAGATTACTCAATTACTAGTGTGGTTTTCTAGGTTACATTAATTTTGTTCCTGGTGTCATTATTACATCATCGTTATTATCAATCATTATTACCAATGATATACATGAATTTACTGATCTTGAAACATTTACTTTATGATCATATATTATTACAAAGGCTCCTATATTAAGAAGAAACTCTGGCTACAACAATAGTAGTGCGTTTTCATTGATCTAGTGGTTAGACAAAGTTTTGATAACATATATGATTTTAGTTAAACAAATGTTTGTCCACAATGGCTAGAAGAAAAAGACTATCAGTGGTCAACTACCACCGCGAATGATAGCTAATTGAACGAAACTGAAAATTTAGAAATTTACTTTACTAAGTGATTAAATGATTTTGTAAATTGTCAATAATTATGATCAAATTATTTCGAAACATCAATTTCTATATCAAGATAGTGACTTTTGTCATCTTGAAAAATAATATAAAATGCATAATGTAGTGTGAAAACATTTTATATAATTTGTATCATTTATATCATGAATTGATTTACACCTTCTTGTGCTCCACATTAAGTCATGTTTATTTTAAGAAGAATGAAGACATTTACAAGCTACTTAAGTTGAGCAATTTGAAATTTAGTCTGCAACGAATCCTAAGTGATTAAACTTTTAACCATTAAGTATTAGATTCGAATCAGGTTGAGTAGTATCACTAGTCTTCATACATGCAAGTCGACTTGCATATGAACCCATCAATTATGTGTCTCTCTCCTCTTTCCATATATATGGAGAGAAGTCACTTGTTTACTGAGCATTGAGAAAGTCCGTTTGCGCGAGGGCTTGTTATTCTATCCACATGCCGAAATTGAAATAGACGGGAGTTGTTCAAAATCGTGATTTATCTGTTGAAACCTAAGTGATTTAATTAATTAACCTCCGTCATGTTAATAGTTACAAATTACCAGTTTGAAAAATTCCCACGATTATCGTAATCCGTGACTGAAGACGTTGGATAACATAACTCAAAATCGATTGCAATAGCTCAGATGTATTCACTCTTCATATTCTCATTGACTTTGAGCTTCGAAATTATCTTATCTTGTCTATGTTTATTCTCTTCTGTTATTATGGATGATATTACTTCTCTTATGGTATTTGTCTTGATAATTTCATCTTCCTGAGTTAATATGTGAAAACTCGAACTAATGCATATATTTGGCAGGTTCTAAGTTGTGCATAACTATATACATAACATTATGATTAATGATCTTATTCAATTCACGTACACTTTCATTCATTGTTCCTTAACATATCTTTTTTTTTTCAGGGTAATTTGGGCAACTTTTAAATTTGGTATCTTTGCAAATGGTCCATATCCAGCTAATCTTATTATGGTTGGATTTTTATTAGTTTTACAAATTTTACATATTTATTGGTTTTGTTTAATTGTAAAAATTGCCATACAAGTCAAATCAAATGGACATGTAAGTTTAGTGTTGTTTTTCTTTAATAATTCAACTATATAATACCATTATTTATTTATATAATTATTAGATAGTGTTTCAGTTATCAATTTAGTATTGTTTCTCAACAACTATAGGACAACTCAAACCGTTATTATATCGATATAAACATCATATCCATTAAAGAAGTTAGTAGCTGTCTGAATCCAGTATCTCAGTTTATAACACATTGGGAGTTTGAGGTAACATTAGTAAGCAAATACAACAAACTGATAAGTCTTGATTTAGGATAAAACACTCATACTGGATTCCATTACACGCAATAATCTATCTACTTTGAATAAATTGGGGCTATAATGTATTGATTAGAAGTATTTGAATTATTATACGAACTAGAAATCTCATAAGTAATGCAATTTAGACCAAGAAGAACTAGGGGAGCACGAACGAACGTATGGTATTTGGAGTTCAACATCAGGCGTAAATCAAGTACAAAGGAATCATTAGTTCATATCAACACCACATATAGTTCACGAGAACAAATAAAATCATTAAGTAAAAATCTGGAAACGGTATAAAACTCAAAATTTAAAGTAAAATTTACAGCAAATGCAACTATCCATTCGACCCGTATGACCCAATGTGTCCAACAATAGAATAAAGTTATTGTATGGGCCTCAATCAGGAACTGATTGAATTAATTTTGAATCCTAGTATATTCGCCTTAAGTATTTTTCTAATCTACACATGCCATTCACAATTACGCGTCAAGGTAGACAGTAGCCAGAATGTCTTAACCGATCAACAGTGATTCAATACTCATACTCTATATAATATGTCTTCTACCTTAATAAGTCATGTCTAACAGATATGAAACAATACATATCTGAATATGGCTCAGTAAATCCGACAATTGATTGTTAGATGGGCATCCAGCCTATCTGATAATATTAAATTTAATTAATAAATAAACTGAAAAGTGTATTGTTGCTTTAAAAAAAGGAATCATATTTATAATTTGTTCTATTTGTTCATTTTATATACACAGCTTGTTAAGGATTGTCGTAGTGACAGTGAACTCTCCGATGAATCCAATCAAATAATGAAATTAGATTCAATTCAAGGAACAAACTGTTACAATAATAATTATCATCATATAAACCAAACTTCATTAAAAAGTAATGATGATGTTAGTATAAATAGTAATACTAATAACACTAGTGATATTATTAACAATGATAAGAACTTGAATCATGTATTTCAACGTTCTAATCATTGTATACAGTAAGATAAAGGATCCACATTGAAAATCTTGTAAACGTTAAATATTGAACCATTTCTTCCTAGCTATTATGAATTAATCAAGGAAAACTGAAAAGAAACTGTAGTTTTTGTTTTATAGTTTGCACATAAATTGTTTATTTGCTTACTGACAATCAGTTCTGTACATCGAACAGGACACAAATATCTCCGTATATATATATATATAATTTTAATCGTGTTTCTACCTTTTTTAATGTCTTTTCTGTATTATTTGTATTATGATCTTTCGTATTTTGTGTAATTGTTTGATTTCTAAAAATAAAAAAAAATTTTTTCAAATGGATTGATTCAATCTTTTTGTTAAAGTCCAGTTTCATCAAAGTGATCAATAATGATTTGTGTACTGATATGACAGATTGCAAAGTTTATCAGACAGACTATAGATCAAATTTACTTAGTATTGTTTGTTTGGATCTTCCCATTGATGTTTTTAGGACAGCAACTGGTCAGCCTCTAATGGGAAGATCCAAACAAACAATACTAAGTAAATTTCAACTTCACCCCATTGCACAAGCAAGTGGCTATCAGGACTCAAAGGCCTAGTGGATAACGTGATGGCGTTTAAAGCGAAAGGTACTGGGTTCGAGTCCCAAAGTGAAGATCAACTCTGAGATACAGGTACATTTAGCTGACGAGTCCCAAATAAGACGAAACGCGCGTCCTGGATTCCACTGCTAGTCACTATCCATCTTTGCTTACCAAGTCTATAGATCAGTTATTTGTTTTGTAATGAAAGATTCAATGTAAACAAGTTTGAAAATTAGGTAGAAAGATTAATGCGTTGTTATGATGATGGACTTTCGAATTCACTGTCTTGATTGTAGAATGTATTATCAGACCTTCAGCAGTTTTTTTATAAAAAAAGTTTACTATTGACTTTTATGTAGTCTAATTTCTAACGCTATTTTATGACAAAGATATATTGAAAGATGCATCATTGAAAAGCTATTACATCTTATCATAACATTATTCAACGTTGTGCATTTACTAAGAGTCAAATCTAAGATCTTGAAGTCCCGTATTGAATGCATTACCCTTAGACTATTGTATTGCTATCCAATAGTTTACATTTACAACTTTAATCAGTTCTAGAAATAACAGCACTCTAAGCAATCGATATCCTGAATTCGTACGACGGATTATACTGCAAAGTTGTGAATGGAGGACAGCTGACAGGAGCATTCCAAGTGACGACTGAAGACAGACAAGACTACTTATTATCACCCTTTCTCTTTCTTATGATGGTCAACTGAATTATAAAGACTTGGACATCTTAGAAGAAGCACGCATTACAATGGATTGATTGGATGCAACTAGATGATTTGGGATTCGCAGACAACCTAGCTCTTCCATCACATACACACAAACAGATACAAGTAAAGAAAGTCAGTGTAGCAGCAGCCTTTGCATCAGTAGGCCTCAGCGTACATAAGGGAAGAATCAAGATCGTAAAATACCACACGGAAAAACCATCGCAATCACACTTGATGGAGAAACTCTGAAAGAGGTAGAAAGGTTTACGTTCCTGGGCAGCACCATTTATGAATAAGGAGGATCCGATGAAGATGTAAAGGCAAGGATTGATAAAGCAAGGACAGCATTCCTACAATCAAAGAACATATAAAACTCAAAACAACTATCAACTAACTTCAAAGTGAGAATCTTCAATACGAACGTCAAGACAGTCAGTCCTACTGTACGGAGCTGAAATGTGGGGAACTACTACATCCATCGTCAAGAAGGTACAAGTATTTATAAACAGTTTTTACGCAAAATACTCAACATTCACTAGCCGTACGTCATCAGCAACAGCCTTTTATAGGAGAGGACAAACCAACTTCCACCTGAAAAGGAAATTAGGAAAACATGTTTGAAGTGGATTGGACATACATTAGGAAAATCATCAAACTGCATTACAAGGCAATCCCTAACTTGGAATCCTGAAGGGAAGCGGAAAGGAGGAAGACCAAAGAACACACTACGCCAGGAAATAAAAGCAGATGTGAAAAGAATGAATAACAAGTAGAAATAACTGGAAAGGATTGCCCATGATAGGGTTGGATGGATAATGCTGGTGGGCGGCCTATGCTCCTCCACGATGGGTAACAGGCGTAAGTAAATAAGTAAGTATCTATTTTACGCTCCTTATACCAATGTTTATGTGTTCAAATAATTAAAAACAGTTTGTGTGATTTTTGAACTTTACATTTGTGCAACTTTTAATCCTAAAAATATGAGAAAAATAGTGCAAAATATTGTAATCTTACCTCAAAATACAATTATCAACCTGAACTTTGATTTTTCTTATATGATTATTGAATATACTAAGCTACTTGTAAATCCTAGCTAAGTTGTGATCATTAAAACAGATTTATGAAAAATATCATTTTATTCCTTCACAGGTAATTTTGATTTGTGATTTGTTTGAAACTATCTTTCAGAGCTTACTGAAAGAATTTTCCTAAGCACGATGAAAAACCGTTAGCATTAATAAACCTATTAAAATCTCATTTACTCTCAGTTTGAATTTGTGGAATTTTTATTTAAATTAATTTAATGAAATGCTATTAAACAGCATAGTGATTACAGTTACTACTATTTTAACTAAGTACAGGATCTGATCAGATATATAGAACTAAATATGAAATTATCCATTATTCAATTATTAACATCAATATTGTAATGAATTAAAATTAATCTTTACCATCAGAATATCTTTATCTCTCTCATATTGTACTCGGTTAATATGAATTTTTACAGTTCTCTTAAAACTAACTCATTCAATTTGAAATGTAACATTTAGCTTAGTGTGGATTATAGTCTATTTTCAATATCTTAAGTTGTATAATTTGGTACATTTATCAAATGAATCCATTTCTTTAACAATAGAAGGAACCCCGAAGGTCATTGTTTGTATCTTTCATCAAAAAAAAAGAAAAATCGAGTCAATGTCATCGTTTAAATTGTAAATAAATCAGAGTAACATAATGAGTTTTATCTAACAGAAGAATCACATATTGTTCAGTCTTGAAATATTCATAATGACATTGTATTAAACAATTTCCTGTCATACTTTCTGACAACAGTTGTGAGAGTCTACATTGTAAATTTACTGCTGTTGTGATTTTGAGCCAGGCTAATTATCATGTGACTTATTCACCAATTGGTATACGAATTATATAATCTTAGCACTGTGCCAATTTAATGTTATTCGACCCGGTATGAGCAGCCTAGCGTCCTTATTGATCCTTCTTTCTACCAGGCCTGTCATTTGACTCCAGAATACTAGCACCACCCTCCACTATACCAATCATTCAGCTCAAACATACCTAGTTTATACACAATCCGAACGAATCACATCAAACCATAAAATAGGAAATAACATTTGTACAATATCTACTCAAAAGTGACTGTGAATGTGAGAGACTGTAATTAATAAATTGGACATAACTGGAGGACGGTAAATCGTATAATAATAGTCTTATGGTTGAAAATAAAGCTTATAATAAGAGGAACATGAATATACGTAATCTAGTTCCTGAATAGTTATACAATAAGAATATATGTATCGTATTGGTTCATAAATAGTTCTCAAAAGTTACCAATCATAATTCATGTCGGCATATAACACAAGTACATATATTCATTGACTTCATTAAAAGAAATGAAATTATGGTTTTTCGATTGTTTTTTTTTTCTTTTTTAAAAAGACATCAAATTCTGAACCGTGAATGTGAGAGACAGTAATTAATAAATTGGACATAACTGGAGGACGGTAAATCGTATAATAATAGTCTTATGAAAATAAAGCTTATAATAAGAAAAACATGAATATATATATATAATATTAGTCCATTAACAGTTCTCAGAAGTTAACCGGAATTTAAACTTCACTAGGATATAACAACTCTGTTATAAAGACATTAAATAGGAATAATATATATTTGCAAAATCTCAGCGAATGAATTTGAAGTGAATCCAACGTTTCGCCTAGCAATCTTGTCCAAACTTTTTCAAGGAATTAATGATATATATATATATATATATATATATATATATATATATTAATGATATTTTTCATAAATCTGTTTTAATGATCACAACTAAGCTAGGATTTACAAGTAGCTTAGTATATTCAATAATCATATAAGGAATTAATTCCTTGAAAAAGTTTGGACAAGATTGCTAGGCGAAACGTTGGATTTACTTCAAATTCATTCGCTGAAATTCTACAAATATATATTATTCCTATTTAATGTCTTACATCAACTCGGCACTCAAATACTGTGAAACTATTCACTCTAATTTAGACGAAAGTGTTATAGAGACTCGCAAATAGATTTTTTTTATTCATTTTTGTTTTACAAAGAAATTCAAATATCAGGTTATTTTTAGTTAATATTAGCAAAATTATATCAAATCTCAATATGTTCATCATATGATTTGTTTAACTTTTCATAAAGAAAAAAAAATTAAATTTGTTCTTTCCTTATTTTTCTCAGTACTTAGTTCATAATCAACTGATTTGATCATACTTACTATATTAAGTAAATTTAATTTGTATTAAGGAATAAGTGATTTATTTATATAGAGTGCATAATGTTTTGTCATATGAACCGAAAGATTCATAATATAAATGTCATATTTTTTTTCTAAAAACAATTATTATCTAATTGTCATGACTAACTGGTGTTTATTTTAAAGTATCTAAAAGTTTATTTGTTCTTCTTTCAAATGATTATCTTGTTAATTGTTTTATTCAGAAGGGGATTTGTGAAGATTTCAGTATATTTCAAAGTTGAAATCATGAGTCAATTGAAGCTAGACCACCATCGAAAACTTGGAAGGCAGTAATTTCCAGTCAATACTTATTATTTACGAAATTGAGAGGACGAAAAGTGAATATCCGGCGCTTTAACCGGATTGGTGAACATGGAAAGTTCACCTAGAGGAGTTGGAAAACCCTGATTCCAAACCAATGGTGCACATGGGCTACAGTATCCTGAAGGAACAAACAGCGTATGAGCCAATCGTTCGTGACCGGCTAACATGGGAATGCATCTCCTTATGATACTTCACTGCTTTGTGGATCAGATCTTTAGGTCGAAGGCTCGGTGTGTGGCCCCCTAAGAAGACCACCTGCTTCAGTTTAGTCAACTGGGCAGTATCACAGCCCTCACACAAATCAAATGAGATTTGTGCGGCGCATGTGTATCTGGTGCCTCTTTGTACCAATATTTATGTGTTCAAATAA